TTTGAGCTTCAATGCTTCGCGGATATCTTCAATCTGCATAGCGGCTTCGGTTTCGGGCTCGATTTGGTATCCCAGTCTGCTTGCAAAGCGGATCAATCGAAGCACACGCAATGGGTCGTCTTTGAAGGTTTGGTATGGTTCCATTGGGCATCGAATAATATTTTTCTTCATGTCGTCCATTCCTCTCTCAGTGAGATCCTCCAGCCGTGACTCATTAAGGTTGTAGAAAAGCGCATTGATAGTTGCATCGCGTCGCAGAGCGTCTTCGACAGCAGTACCGAACTCCATCTGAGGATTTCGACTGTCGTCCGTGTATGTTTCCTTGCGCAGATTGACCAAATCAATGTCCAGGCCGAAGATCTTGGTTGTGACGGTCTCGAGGTGCTTTGATTTTTCTGGATTGGCCTCGATTTTGTGAAGGCTCACAATAGCGTCGTGCATTTCCCCATTCGGGCCAATCTTGTATTTTTCAAGATGCTCTGGAATATCCAGATAGTCTTTCAGGGCCATACCAAACTGGTATCCCGTCATGTTGCTGATGCCGACGTCGATATCATGGCTCTCGACTCCGAGCAGCTTGTCCCTGACCCACCCGCCTGTGAAGCGCAAGACAGTCTCAGTTTCATCCTTCGCTGCGCTGCCTCCCTCTGCAATTTTCTGCTCGGTGATGTATTGTGCGACATTGAGGAGTAGGGTTCGTAGGGTACTCTCAAGCGGAGTGAGCTCAATGGTAGGCATGGCGGGGCTCATGGTTGCATATGAGCCTTCTCGCGTCGGGGAAGAAATGCGTCGCCTCTTGCTGACTCGTTCTGAGAAGTCCGGGTCCGATTCGGGGTTGCGCATGGAAGTGCGACAAGGTACAGATGCAGAGTAGGTTCGGAGGGGTAGTTGTTGTTGAAATGGGTGTATTTGACCAGCTCTTCTCGCTAGAGTGCGGGCTAGTGGAGCTTTAACTGAAGGGAGACCATAAGCCTTAAATAGACACACGAAAGAGCGCGACTGCATTGAACATAGCCAGATCAGATGCTCTGAGAAAGTGAGTCAGTTGGATTGTCGATAAGCATGGCCCTCACGTGGTTTGCATCACCACTTGGAGATCGACAATCATCTTCTACCTGAGTACTCTGTGTTGCATTACAATTGACAAAACGATCATCAACTTCCTTAAAGGGTTTTAGTGCCCAACCTGCCCACGGGTTCCGTCACTCTATTTTGTTGTAGCCCGTGTCAGTGCTTATCGGCCCGAATCCGTCGACTTGGCTTTCTCCCCAACACCTCCGTGAAGCCGCATTCCACTCGCTCTATTACACCTCGTGCGACCTCATCTACCAGTCGATGGGGCCTATCGATCAACTACACTCGCTTTAAATCTGCACAAAGCAGCAGGTGTCCGCCCATGACATCGCCCGGAGATGCTGCTCCGGTCAAACCTCCGCCGTCCTTCTCCCCCGGCGTTGCGCGAGTCGCATCCACATCACCATCACGATACCCCGGGGAGCATGAAACAACGCAATCTTTAGATGCTGAATTGGCAGAATCCCAGTCAGTCTCATCGCCGACGCCTCTTTCAGGCACGATCGCCGACCTACCAATACGACCTGGCTCGTCGCACTCCCGCTCTGGGAGGTCTTCCACTCCACAGTTAGCAAGATCATCAATCGGTTCGCCTTTAGATGGAAGGTCTGATGGCTCGGAAGATATAAGATCATCAATTATCCGGTCATTCTCACCCACGATCGCAGTCCATGCCTCCGAGGATACCGACGATTTGGTGAGGAACAAGGGGTTCAAGGGGGGATTCTGGGAGTTGATCCGGCCCTTTGGAGAAACAGTTACTGGAAAGGTGGTGATCCGAGACAGTATAGGCTCGAGTCGTGCCTGGGAGGACTATGGAGTGCGCTTTGCCGATTTCAAAGGGATCGGCAGGGCTCCGGCTAGTCGAGACTCTGGGCCCCTGGCACAGATGGAAGAAGTGTTGACCAAGCAGTTAGACTGTTCCAATGACATGCTTGGTGCATCGGTACGCACAAAGGATGTTTTGGGATTCCCTGCAACAACTCCATTATGCAAGTCGTTTTTGCAACAACTGTTGTGTTCGGCACCTACAGCGCCCCACGAGACATTTGGTCACCCGGTAGCCAATGTAATAGCCATCAGCTCGCGCAACGCAGCTCCGTTGGAGACACTCAGGCAGCTATATGCTGATGGTACGACTGGGGACAAACAGCTACCCGACTGGGTCAACCAGGAGTATCTTCGGTATTATGTTTTAGTTCACGACGAAGAACGAGACGATATCACGGAATCTATCAAGCTTTATGATCAGATGAAGCGGCACTTTGGGCTACACTGTCATCTTTTAAGACTTCGGAGCAGCCAGTGTGTGGTGACAGACGATGATAGCATGCAAGTTCCCCAGTGCGAATGGCTCTCGCCGTCAGAGCATCTGTCGGGAGCAGGTGAAGCAGGCAAGTTTTCGCCGTTACTTATTCAGACATAAGCTAACTTTCCGCTAGAAGCCCTGGTTGACCTTGGTACCGATGGTACACCATATCTCTTTGGCTCCGATGCTACTGCGATTAAGGCATTCATTCGAGAACTCGTGGTGCAATCCGTCATTCCATTCATGGAAAATAAAGTAGCTGTCTGGAACGACCAGGTTGCATCTCGGAGGCGTGGTATAAGTGGCAGGTTTATGTCGATGTCTCGGCGATGGGCTGGGTTCGGTTCAAGTTCGCGTTCAAGTATTGGAGGGTCGTCGGGTGGCAACAGCGGGAACTACGATCCAACACAACATTCTTATAGTCCAGACTCCCCGGAGGCTGTCTTGCGGAAGATGTCAGACTATGCGTTCATGCTCCGCGATTGGAAGCTAGCTGCGTCCACATATGACATGATTCGATCGGATTATGGAAATGACAAAGCCTGGAAATATCATGCCGGTGCGCACGAAATGTGCGCTGTTAGCATGCTTCTAAATCCATTGGCCACATCTGCCAAAATCAAGCTTGAGAGCGTCGACCAAATGTTCGAGACTGCTTGCTACTCCTATCTCACACGTTGTTCAGATGCGACACACGCACTGCGATGTTTATCCCTAGCGGTTGAACTTCTCAAGTCTCGTGGCGGGTCAGCCACCGAGAGCGCAGCCAAATGGGCCATGCGGGTCATGGACTTTGGTCTTGTGGGCTCAGTGGGTCAGATCCTATACACTGAAAGGGTAGCAGCTTGCTATGCTTCAAAGACACCAGTTGGAGCAGCGAAATGGGGCGGTCGTCGCCGAAAAGCCGGCATGTGGAGCACCCTTGCTGCTGATCAATGGCTCAGAGCTGGCCAACCAACCCTAGCTTCAGCCTGTCTGGAAGAAGCAGAGCGTCTCTATGCTGACGTGCTACAGGCTGACGGGGTGTTCCCCATGCCTGAGATGCAGAGCTTCGTTGACAATCTGCGTCATGCTGTCAAGGTTGAATATCTTGAAGCGAGGGGATTCGATGCCCGAGATGAACCGGCTAGCGAGGATCCCTTGGGCACTGAAGAGACCAGCGAGAAGCTCGACATGCGTCATCATCGCCGGTCTTTGGTTGGGCCTCCTGTGCAGCTGGATGCCGGAGCTCTCAATGCAACGCAGGGACCTCTGGACCCTGAGAGTCCACCCAATGATGACTTTGAACGAGCTTAAACTCATGGCCTTAATACCTCATAGCATATAACCATAGATACAAGCCTGTTCAAACAGAAATTAGGTCCCTTGTGTAATGTATACTTTCTTCTCGCTTCTAGTTTCCGAGTAGAGGTGCATGGGATATTACTTCGTGCTCAAGGGTACATACGTATACCGCAAACTACATCTAGGAGGGATTAATCCCTACAGGGCTTCTACTACGCTGTACTCCGTGCCTATATATGCAGATACGGGGGTTGTCAATGTAGATAGGTGGGCCTGGACAGCTTAGGAATAAATCCCGCATTTGGTGCTGATCACTCACATATTTAGTAGGTACTCCAGACTACTATGTCAAAGGTTATCAAAGGTTATACGTAGAAAATTCTCTTGCACCAAGTACGCTTTTTTTACCCCCTTAGTATACACCTAAGAAGACATCTAAAAAGAACACACAAAAAGACATGACGCATAAGCGGCCAACTATTCTTGTAGTTAGTACATATGTAGTCGGTCTACCAAGGTACGTCGGCCCCGAGAACGGAGAGTCTTCCAAGGTTGTATTAGGGCCGTGTGGACTGTTGCCTAAAAGGGAATATCATAAAACACTTATATCACTTCTCCTAAACCGAGTCCTGAAACCTGTTGGCAACAAATGGGTATTACTATTGCCTCCGTGATGGCGTAAAATCTACTGGCTTTAGTAACCAACCAGACATTCCAAGTCTGTAACTCAGCACTTACTACATCAGTCAGCCATCTACCTGGTGCAGTATCTTGAAGCTTGAAGGGGTCAATAGCAACATGGGCAATGGCTGGTACACCGAGCTATTCGGGTGGAGACCATATGTGGGAGCATGACCCTGTAGGTGTGGATCCAACAGATAGAGTATAAAAAGAATGAGCCTGTAGCTTCATGGCAGTGGGAATATTGGCACTGAGCTTTCGGAGGGCGTCGCTGCCAGCTACATACTAGATGACGACAAGACAATCCGATATGAGCAATGTGCGCGTATAGACCAGGTGTGTGAGGAACTGTAGGAATAGAAAATAAAGCTGCTACTTATTGTCACCTGCTCACGTATTCAAGTGAAATTAGAAAAGATATATACTCAGTATGGCACGAAGTGATCGACATCACAGTACATTTAAGCATCAAAACATTCGAACGCGTCACGTGGAGCTTATCGATAAAGCTGTAGAACGACCTCGGGAGACCGCCGCAGTGGATGCGCAGATGACCCCATCTTGATTTGTCTGCGAGGTCCACTCTCAAAAACAACTTGACCTATTATTTGTTTCGAGAGAGACATACCATTTCTCCTCAGCATACCCTTGCATGATGAGCCAACTACTGAAATATATCCTCACTCACGAGGAAGCATTCCGAAGGTAAGGAACAGAGTCAAGAAGAGAAGCCATAAAGCCTATCAAAACAGAGGAAGAATATCATGCTTATCCTCAGGTTCATATATTTAGAAACCGTTTACCCTCTCTCTACTCCGACTTCACACCTCAGAAGAAGACAAACCCCGACGGCTACTCTGTTAACGTCGCCGCATGGGAACAAGCACTCAACCGTGCCGCAAAGCGCGGCTATACCTCCTCACGCGGTGTGCGGGTACGTTCCGGCTCGACCACATCGGCTAAGAGCGGAACAACACCCGTGAAACGAAAGAAGACAGACCACCTTATTCTGCGAACGGATGAGTCGCTGCTCCGGGATTTAGAGAGTCCGGAGTGGGGGAGGCCCGTAGCTCTGGGTACTGTATTTGTGGGTCTTTTATCTTTCTTTGGATGGCGGAGCTGGTGAGCTAACCAATGGGTGTTATAGGACGAGGCAGTGCGCAATAATTCGATGATTCCCTTGCCAGTTTACAAGACCACTGCTGGCCTTTTGCAAAAGAAAAGTCAGTGGAGGCTAATTGATCCCGGGGTTCTCAGTCCTTGGAATGTCATGAGCTGGGGAGCTCGGCAGCTCAAGGGCTTTGTTGTAGGTTCTGAGAGCGATTCGGCACCGAAGCTGCAGGTGCAGGAGTTGGTCTTGGTAGAGAACCTACAGGAAGCGGCAGACCTAGCAGTCAAGAAAGCCACAGGCAGCAACCCATCCAAGCTTGACCTTATCTACTCCAGGGAAAGCTTTGTTGAAGAGTTCGCGGCCATACTGAATGATGCTACGGAATTATCAGATGCAGATTTTGATGTCTTATTGCTTTATTTATCCCGCGATAGAGGTGCCATTGCATATGACGGCAAGGTGAGTTGGTCTATATAAATATGGCCAGACTACCCAGATATTGACTGATTGGTGGCTAGACAATCAAGTTCAAATCAGTAGATGAATCGGCGGAGATCACCCAACAGGACACAACCATTGCATCCATCAAGACGTTGGTGTCGACTATGTCGAAACAGGTCACGAACCTGGAAGAAAAGATCGCCGAGCTGACTATGTCTGCAAAGACAGCCTTGGCGAACAAGAATCGCATTTCAGCGCTGTCCGCTGTGCGTTCCAAGAAGATGGCTGAACACAACCTCCAGCAGAGGTTTAATACCCTCATGCAGCTCGAGGAGGTTTATTCAAAGATCGAGCAAGCTGCTGGCCAGGTGGACATGGTGCAGGTCATGCAGGCAAGCACTGGTGTGCTTCGCGGTCTGCATACTCAGATCGGCGGCGCCGAGAGGGTTGAGGACATCGTTGAAGAACTGCGGGAGGAGATGACCAAGGTGGATGAGGTCGGAAGCATCATGAACGAGGCCGGCCCAATTATTGACGAGGGAGAGATCGATGATGAGCTTGCGGCGATGGAGAAGAGCGACAGAGAGGCGAGAGAGAAGGAGGAGGCAGCAGTCACCAAGAACAGGCTTGCCGAACTGGACAGTGTCAAGCAAGCTTCAGATGAGGCCTCCCGCCGAGCACGTGCGGCCGAAGATGCGGACTCGGCTCTTGCAGATAACATTATTGACAGGCTCTCTAACATGTCTGTCGAGGACCGCCCCATGCAAGCAAACTGAGACTCTCCAAACTGTGGGAGAGACATTTGCCTAATGTGAAAGAACAATTTGCTCTTCTGGGTGCTTCCCAATTCGACGATATGCCTTGTTTTGAGATCACCCAGATAGATCAATGACATGACTGGCATCGGTATCTGGGCTGAACTCAACGCCTGCACCATTCACCATTAATCCAGCAACCTGCTGTGGTTCTGGTTCCCTCTGCCTTGATGAAGACGAAGATTCCCCAGGGATAATGGATCGTGATTGGGCCTCACTCTTTTTACGCGCATTCGCGATTAAACGCTTGAAATCGTCATCATGGTTGTTTGACCACTCATTGGCATCGAAGTCCTTGCGCATCACATTATTGGAAGTGGTGAATGGTGACGGGGCTGTGGCATGCCCACCCTGTGTGCGTTCCCAAACGTCCAGTTCCTGGAGCAATATCCGCTTAGACTTGGGATGTTTGGAGTCGCAATTTGCATTCCACAAGTTCATCCACTCCGTGTGACGTCTCTGCAACAGCTGTTTTTGTCCCCAGTCCGGGATCCCGAGATCCCGGAGCTTCTTCCGCAATGCGTTATCCTTTAATATGGAGTAGTTTATAGCCGGAAGCCGCTCGGGCTGTTTGCTGGGGAGGGTGAGGCCTCTGTGGGATATGCCTTTTAATGACCTGTAATTATCGTCCAATTAGCACCGTGTTCTAGACCCATGGAATAGAATTAACAAACCCGAAAGATGCTGGCTTTGTAGGGGATTTCTTAGGTGCTTCTTCTTCCTGTTGGTGCACGTTCAGGTGTGGAAACACTGCCTCTTCCTTCATCTTGCGAAAGCATATTGGGCAAGAAACTAACCCATCTTCTGTTGAGTCGATTAGACGGGTCTGGTATCCGTGTGATAAAAGTGTCATACCGGGCGTATATTCTTCATCGTCCTGACTATCCTCGATGACCTCGGGCACGATCTGGGGAACAGTTCGGTCTTCTGTCGAGCTATTTGTGGATCTTTGAGAGCGAGTCCGTCGGCCTTGCGAACTTGTTTCTGGAACCTGTGGTTCCTCTTCCACCTGATTGACCTTGCGCTTCTTTCGGGTCTGCTTCTCTATTTCGTCCTCTCCCCTAGTAAGGCGTGCATTTTCCCTTCTCGCAAGATCAAGTACACCAGGTCGTGCCAATTTAAACGCGTCGACGAGTTCCTGCACTGCCCAATTGCGACGTAGTTTGAGTTCCTGATCAGAGCTTCGACACGCCGGACACTTGCCTTCTGTGCTGAGGCAACGGCGAATACATAGCGAGCAGAATGTATGGCTGCAGGAAGTAATAACAGGGTTATCGAAAAAGTCTTTACAGACTTGACATCGTAATGAGGATTCGAACGGCGCGAGTAGTGAAAGTGGCGTTTCCAGCCAATCGGTGGAGTCAGCGAGGTCGAACGACTGATCCATTGAGTCGAGACCTAATCCCTGAGCTCGAGAGCTATTTTCTGTAGAATTCCAACCGGACTCGCCCGGCGATAGCTAACGAAAGAGGAGAACGTGAGTGGAGAGCCGCCTGAGCAAGAGACCGCAAATGCCAAGACTCGCTGACTGATACGCGTTAAGTGGTTGAGCACGCGTCGGAGCAACTTGCACTTCAACAGCAACCATGGACTCGAAGTTGTATCTGGCTGAGAATGTTCTCAATGAGCGACGCCCTGTATAATTTTCTCATGCCCTCCAGACAAGCAGGAGCTTACCAGAATTAGGTCACATACCGCTTATTGAGCCGGGCGCTCAAAGTGCACGCCAACCGGGCCAAACAGTATGTTCTGCGTTCGCAGCAGAAGAAATCGGACGTGGAATTGACACTGACACTCCATTGGATAGGATCCTTTTCGAATTCCACCGCAACGAGAACGCGAAGAAGCCACAGGCCGTCCACGCAACCTACGTCATCTCCGGTATCCAGAAAGCGCCTGAGCCGGCCCCTACGAACGGCCATGCGGACGATGCAGATGAGATGATGCAGAGTAGCCCCTACTTGCCCAGCTCAATACCGAACCAGGATACGGCCTCGGACTCGATTCGCATTACCTCCATCGTGTTAGCACGCGAGGAAGACCTGGAAGGTACGCAGATTCGTGGATCTCGGTGATGGACTGACTACTGAACGACTCGAGCAGATGCGAAATCAACATTCCAGTCGATATCTACAATCCATGTCTACAGTCTCCAGCCTACAGCCCTGCCGGATTTGAATGTGTTAGTTGATGCCAACCGGGAGATTGCGAGTACACACGGGCAGGAGGATCCATTGGAGTCTGGGAAGCAATGGGGTATGATCCAAAATCGCAATGTCAAGGTAGGTTATCCATTATGTCGACAGGTCTATCGTGATCTAATGCTTATATGTTCCAGCGGAGAACTGGCACGCGCCCAGCCCCACCTGCAGCTCCAGCTGTGAAGGTGCCGGCTGCCAAGGCATCGAAGCCTTTGACTGAGTCAACGGTGCCCGCTAAACGGCCGTTGCCAAAAGAGACATCCCCAGTGAAGACAGAAGGAACCAATCCCGATGAGCCGAAGCCTGAGCCATCCTCTGCTGCCAACTCCCAGGCTTCCTCGAAGCCTTCGGGTAAAGCAGCGGCACCCAAGCAAAAAGGCAATCTTTTCAGCTCTTTCGCTAAGGCGAAGCCGAAGACAAAGGCATCAGCTCCAGCAGAACCGGTTCGTGCAATTACTCGTGCATCATTTATTATTGATATTGTTTCACTAACCTTGACTACAGGTCGCACCGAGTGCAGAAGATGGTTAGTTAACTCCAGTGAGATTTTATACATTAGCTAACGTGTTTTAGTCGTGCTTGATGATGCATCTGAAGAAGAGGCAGAAGAATTGTTCCCTGATAGCACCGCTAAAGCAGCCGCAGAAAGCCGCGAAAACAGGAAAGAGCGCGAGGCAAGGCTCAAGAAGATGATGGATGATGATGATGATGACGAGGCTGACGGTATGTCCTGGCCCTCAAAGGCCAATCTGAAAAGAACCAACTGACATAGACCCAGACGAAGAAATGCCTGATGCCGACGAGGAGCCACGGGAGCCCACGCCTGTTGAGCAACTGCCACCACCCAAGCCAGCTGAACTTAAAGAAGAAGTGACTGTGCAGGGCGGGCGGCGGCGAGGCAAGCGGCAAGTCATGAAGAAGAAGACGGTCAAGGACGAAGAAGGATACTTAGGTTCGTGCATCCCCGCTGAGGCCCCTTCGTTTGGCGAGGTATACTAATTCGTTGCAGTTACCCGGGAAGAGGCGACGTGGGAGTCTTTCTCCGAGGATGAGCCGGTGCCTAAGAAGAAGCCTGCAGTCAATGTTCCTAAGGCGAAGGCCGGCAAAGCTGCGGGACAGGGTAACATCATGTCTTTCTTTGGGAAGAAGTGATGTAGCATTATTGAGGTGTCCAAATGAGTTTCTAAAAGCATAGATATCTAATACCAAAGCATATGTCAAGTATATCCCAAAAAAGGAAATTCCGCGATGTCGATCTTCTCCGCACTTTATGTGGGGAAGAGTGTCATCGTGCCCAGACCGATGTCACCTCGATTTCACTGTCTTCTTTGTATTTCGTCCGAGGGAACTGCCTTAAGGTTCATATACCAGGCTTTGTGGCTCAAAATGTACTTGTGAAAAGCCACAGAGAAATTGTATACGTGCAGTGGAATGTATCCCTGTCCGGTTGGGATCGACATACATCCCCTCCTATTTACCCCGGCTTTCTTCCCTCAGTCCAAGTCTGTCCCTCACTATCGTCCTTCGTGACATCTGCGCCATGACTATCCCTTCTGTGCTTGCAGTCGCTCTGCTGGGCCTTCAGGCCGGCGCCCTCCTAGATAGAGACGACCTAGCTATCTTGCGACGCGCCTGCCCAGACTACACCTCCTATGCATCAACACCACAGTGAGTGTCTACAATCCCAGAGCGGTGTACTGAATATCTGCTAAATGAGGATTTAATGTCACAGCGCTCCCTATAGTGGTGGTCCCTTGAATCTTCCCTTTCAGCGACCTGCGGAACCATGTCGGACATTCTCATCGCCCGCTGTGGAGAAGGTCATTGAAGATATAACCTCGCGTCTAGTCGATAAAGATCTGGCTCAGCTATTCCGAAATGCATTTCCGAACACCCTAGACACTACAATTCGGTGGCATACGAATGGATCGACATCATCCGGTACCAATGCTAGGCGGGACGGCGCGCAATGGACCGGCGTGCAGACCTTCATCGTGACAGGCGATATCAACGCCGAGTGGCTGCGTGACTCAACAAACCAGCTCACAAATTATCAGAAACTGGCTGCCAAGGACAAGAATCTTTACTCGCTGATCCTGGGTGCTATCAACACCCAGTCCGAGTTCGTCATTCAGTCGCCCTATTGCAATGCTTTCCAGCCACCGGCTCTCAGCGGTATCAAGCCGGAAGCCAGCACCCAAAAGGATACTGTGCATCCTGCCTATGACGAGTCTTTTGTATTCGAATGCAAGTATGAACTTGACTCTCTGGCCCATTTCCTACAGCTAGGCACTGAGTTCCATGAGAATACTGGTTCGACTGAGTTCTTGACCGATCGATGGTATAAAGCGTTACAAACTGTGCTGACAACTATCGACGCGGAGTCTGAGTCCACCTTCAATACCCAGGGCCAGTTTGTGCAAAACCAGTACACGTTCCAGCGAGAGACTACCATTGGCACTGAAACCCTCAACCTAGCTGGCGTGGGAAACCCGCTGAATAGCGAGACTGGCCTAATTCGCAGTGCATTCCGGCCTAGCGATGATGCTACGATACTAGGCTTCTTCATTCCGCCAAACGCTATGATGTCCGTACAGCTCCAAAAGACAGCGAAGGTCATCAAGGCCGCCGGTGGGCCTGCTAGTCTCGTTGCAGACCTGCAGGAACGCGGTACTAAGCTAGCCAAGGCAGTTCGGGATCATGGCATTGTCCAACACCCCAAATATGGAGATGTCTATGCCTTTGAAGTCGACGGGTACGGGTCACGTATTCTCATGGACGATGCCAACATCCCTTCACTGCTCTCGTTGCCCTACCTCGGCTTTGTGGACAAAACAGACCCCGTCTACCAGAATACACGTAAAATGATCACCGACAAGGCCTCTAACCCGTACTACCTAGTGGGTCCACAGTTCCACGGCATCGGTGGTCCACATATCGGTCTTGAGAACGCCTGGCCCATGTCTCTGCTTGTCCAAGCTATGACCTCAGACGACGACGCCGAGATCATTGGAAACCTCAACCTCGTTCGTAACTCTAGCTTGCTTGGACTTGTCCACGAATCTATCAATGTTACCAACATCAAGGATTATACCCGTCCTTGGTTCTCGTGGGCGAATTCGGTTTTCGCGCAGACTGTTCTTAAGATTGCTGCTGAGAGGCCTCATTTGATCTTCGGTACCAATGCAAAGCCGTATACTGTCCAATAGGGTTGACAGTATGTCTGCTTGTGGCTTGAGCTTCTTTGGTTTTTCCTGAAAATACCCGTGGACCTTGATCCTATCCTTATATCCTTACTTTATTACTATTCATTGCATGAATTCTGGAATGTGCCAGTCGTTTTTTTGATTCCTTAGCATTTCAAGTTCGATGTTTTTTCCCCCCAACAGTGTCAAGAATCGATTTAATGACTACTCTTATAGTGTTTTATGAGGTATAGATGATTTTTTTGTGCACACACGAGACCGCTTGACAGGTTGGTGCTCATGTGGGATGTGGCTTAAGCATGTCTCGGAGCAGGGTCCAGATGAGGATCCGATGAGCTCCGAACATTTCACCAAAGAGGGTCTCGTCGAACTATTTCTACTAACTACGTATATACCACTAGATAAATTGCTGTATCGTATCATATCGAGGCTTTTCGCTTTTGCCGGGAGGATCTGTCAATCTACCCGTTCAGGGTCTTTTGGTCGCCTGTCACAGCCATAACCCTGACAGCAATGACCCGGGGCTAAGGGGCTTGGTGCCACCATAGGCATTAGCTTGGCATTAGCTTGATCCTTTTGACCTTCTCATTCAGAGAGGATATAATATGCCTACCCTTCTCAAAACCAACTTCAACTTTCCACACTACCTACAATGGCATCTCACTTTCTGTTAACCCTCTTTCACCAACTGTTCAATATCTTCATCTATTCTACGGGAGACGGTCGAATACTTGCGCGAGTTCATGGACTCATACAAAAAGAACCTACCCAATCCAATAATCTTTTACTATTAGTACCGATTGCTCTATTGGTTATCCTTGACATTCTAGTACGTCACCAAGAAATCCCTATCTTCTCTCAGAGGCTAATGGATCTCAGATACGATATATTATTGGCCATTTCTTAATGTCTATCTTGATTATTGAAACTGTGGAGAAGAAAACCAATGCTTCTGAGCACGGGGACAAGAAGCCAGCTCCCTCCAGCCGCCAACTAGTCCGAATCATTACCGTCCTCTACCGCAAAGGCGGCCTCCGTCTTCTCCTGAATGGCATCGATTCCGCCTGTACCTACTGGGCGATGCACTCCTCGGTATCAAAATTATCAAGCATCCTACTTCCCAGTCCGGTCGCGTATATCATCGCATCAGTCCTGCTCGCCGAGAAGCATTTCTTCTGGACTGCGCGCACCATCCTTCCGCGTGATCAGCTGCACCTCGTGCCCGAACCCCGTGACTGGCAACGATGGAAAGCCTTAGTGATTCCCACTTTGGTCTATGCCGTAGTCGAAATGGTGATGATGCATGTGCCGGCTCTATTTGATAGCGACCTCACCGGACCGGACGAGGAAGTTGCTAGAGTTGGACTGTCGTACATTGTGGGATCTGACATCCTGATAGCCGGGTTGATGCTTTTTGCCCAGCTGTTTCTCCTCTTTCCCTCTTATATAGTGTTGATCCTGGCCCACGCGAGTCTTCTGCCGCCCGACTGCGAAACACTGGTCTTTATCCCGAGAGAGAAACAGCGGGGCAGACGGGCGGGGGAGATATTTGCGGTTGACAGAGGACCTCTACGAGCACAGGAGGCGGTGCAGATGGTTGGGGTGGCACGGTTGCTCTGCTGTCTAGAACTGCATGGGAAGATGTGTTTATGTTTGTTTGGGGTTGCCGCTGTGGTGCATTCGGTAGTCTACTCTATGAAGTAGAGGCGAATATTCCCAAATGTCAAGCGAGACATAAAGCTTTTCACTTCCTCCCGTGGGGAACAGGTCAGTGGAGTTCGAGATGCTTCCTGTAAAACATTAGTGACGGTTGCATCAGGAAGCAAATCGCTTGTAATCAATACTAGAAAGATCACCTTTTCCATCCTCATCAACAGCCCAGGCGGCAACATTATCATCAATTAACCAAGATTAGCGACAGGATCATATACGAATACTTCATTCTCAAGAAAGCAGCATACCGGCCTACGCACTCTGAGTTGGCAAGTTCAATTTCGCAAGGGTTTCGGTATCATCATAGGCAACCCATTGGTCGTCATCAAAGGCAGCAATATTAACAGCTACCTCAGAGTCCAGCCAGTCAGTTGGCTTCTCGATGGATCACCGATGATATCCGTGACTTCGTCGTATAAAAGCAGACCCTCAGCCTGAGAGCAAGGGCCAGGATTGCCTTTTCGAAGAGTAGCATTTTTAGGACGAGGGGACTTTGCGATTTTTGAGCTTAAGTTTATCTCCTGCCGCGAATCCATATCCGGGCTCTGTTCATAATGAGTCCTCAAGGGTATAGCCTGATCATGCTAAAATGGTTATCAAATGGTAGACAAGAAAACATACTGCGTCCATAGAGGACGGAAGGGGCCGCCTTGAAAGGCCAGCGATTTAAACCAAGGTTCACTTTACTAGCCTCAATATGGTTATGCCACAAAAGCTTGAGACCACACTCAATCATAGTCGTGTTGGTACTGGCATATGCTCTACTGCCAATGGAAGAAATCGTAGCATCCTATGTACCATAGATGTCGTAGGCGATGAAATTGAACTGGGATTAATAGAAGTGAGTATAGCACTTAAGGGAAAAGTTCATGATGAACAAAGAAATGCGCAGTTGACATCTTTGACAAGATTGACCATGTCAAAGTTTTGACCCCTGGGCCCTATAAGACTGCGTAGAGCAGGGGACATCGTCTGCCTGAACCCTTAAAAAGCCAGACAAGAGCTGCAGAAATCTTGCTTGTAGAAAAAGTACATATGTAGTTATCCATTAGTGAAACCAACCCACCTCACAACTATCTGTGAAGAAGTTGACTCTTTATATTCAAGAAATTTCGTGTTTATTGCTAGGGAATATCCAAAGTTGAATATCGTTCCCCCCCTGTTACCCATACCTTCTAGCACGGGGAGGACTTTACGTTGTTCGATTTCCTTTTCAATGAGATAGAGAAGTACCAGTTAGTAATTGACAAGCACTGATGCAAGCCTACTGATGCCGGATCTCCACATCGTCTCATATTCTAATTGTAAGTTAGCTTAGCGGCCGTGCGGAATTAGTCATTATATAAAGGCGGCCTATAACGGGTTTCAATATGTAGGGTAGTATATATAATGTCTAGAAACATTGAGGGTTAGGAGACTTTCGACACCCTATGTACATAGCATCCCTTCATACTTTAGACTGTCTCTTCTCAAGGCCCTTTCGCCGAATACGAATCGCCTTTGTCTCCTCCCTCAGCGCCAATCCCGCCATGATCTCCTCACTTCCACCCCCGACTACATGAACCCGAGCATCACGACTAATTTGCTCAATTCTAGCACCTTTGCCAGCCTTGTTGTAGCCCGCACCTCCCATAATCTGCTGTGCTTCTCGAACACTCTTTTCCAGAGCCCTGGTCGACATGACTTTAAGCAAGGCAGTCATGCCTCCGATGTTGACGTCGTCGGAAGGACGGTCTTTGGTAAGTTCCAGGATATGAACAAGCTGTTCCATGAAAGCATAGGCTGGCTCGATCATGAGACCAAATTTGAAGATCTTGGACTGAATTGCCTGCTTTTCAATCAACAGAGAACCAAATGTCTCGCGTTGGATGGCGTAGTTGTAAGCATCTTCGGCACAGACTCGGGCGAGTCGCAAGGATGCACAGGCAAGGGAAAGGCGTTCTGGATTGAAGTCTGAATAAAAGATTAGCAGATGATTCAAACCTTTGGTCCAGGGTGACTCACTCGACATGATAAGCGGGAATCCCTTGTTCTCTTGACCGATGAGGTTTTCGACCGGGACACGCACATCTTCAAACTCGATGAAGGTTGAACCTATAGTTGTGTCAATTCACAATGACTTTATAGGGCTATATCAAAAGAAGCACGCACCACTGGCATTCACGCCCGAGTTATGCATACGTCTTCGAGTCACACCAGCAGTAACCAAGGGGATAACAAGCAAGCTGATACCAGACCTGCCAGGACCACCAGTCCTAACAGCAGCAGTGCAATAGTCAGCCCAGATACCATTGGTAATCCATTTCTTCGCGCCATTCACAATGTAGTGCTTCCCATCCCGTTGAGCCGTAGTGCTGATATTGGCAACATCAGAACCAGCTGGAAAGTAAACAAAGTTAGAACTCGCGTTTGTAGGAAGATATATTTCCCCTACAACGTAAATATTCACATACCATCCGGCTCGGTAATCCCCAAACAAAACCTAATATCACCGCTTGCAACACCAGGGAGCCACCTCTTCCTCTGCTCATCATTCCCAAAACGCGCAACAGGCGGACACCCAATCGCATTACCGCCCCCAAGCCCCCAAGTCACACCGACATATCCAACGCGTGTGAGCTCATCAGCTACAATCAGCGAGCACCACGTATCCCACTTCTCGCGCGGTACATTCCCAGGCAGAGAGAGGCCGGCTGAGTCCTCCTCGTTCGTAAGGGGATGGACGATGCTGTAGCCCAGCTTGCTATGGCGCCGACGTACGGCTTCGGGGACTTGGCCACCTTCTTCCCACTCTGCGGCGTAGGGGGAGATATATGTATCCATGTATTCGCGCACAGTGGCGCGTAGGTTGTGGTGTAGGTCTGTATAGTACGGGTTGCGGATGTCTAGTTGTGGGAGAAGGGGCTCGCTGTATGGAGCTGTTGCGGGGCGGAGGGTGTTGGCCATTATGAAGTTGTATTTAGTGCTATGGGAAGACGGATAGGTAACTAGATAATATGGTTGTATTTGATTTTTTGATGATTTGGAAGTACAAGGTGGTTTAATGCGGGGAAGACTAAGCTCGGTCGCCTGTGAAGAACGTGGGGAGAGCTACTTGGCCGAGGCCCGAATGCTGATCTTAACTTCGTGTTCCATAGAGGGGAGTTATGCATTTGTATCGTTATTATTAGGGTATATGGCATTAGAGTCCAAGCTCGTTGGTCCCTGTCTTTGTTTTAGGCATTCATTTCTGCGCTTCCTGTGCTTCCTCGAATCGGCGAACGGCTTTTTTCATCGCTCGCAAATGCTCCTTGACGTTCTGGCAGCTCCATCGCTGCTCCGACTTGGGCTCCAACATTCTTTTGATGCATGTCATGAGGGAATCCGCGACTGAGATTCCATTGTCCAGCACGATCGAGCCATAATCAACCTTGGCGGCGAAATCCGTAGGGAAAATGGTGCGTTCGGACGGATCCTGGCCTGACCCGCGAGTCAGGTCACTCAAGACGAATTGTCTCTCCATCTTTGTGTTCAAACGATAAACAGTCTCGAAGAGAATGACGCCAAGCGCGTAAACATCGAGCTTTTCGTCGATTTTATATTCGTCAAAGTAATCCACCGGTGAGCTTGGGTTGGTTTGAGGGGCAGATAGATTGGCCGGAGGACGATAGAACTCCGTTCCAACTACCCGCTGTATATTTGGTCCCTCTCGGTATGGTGTCATAGTGCCCTTTGCGGGCTCGTTGATGTGGGAAATGTCTGCAACAAGACCAAAGTCCCCAATGCGAGGACGACAGAACTGGGTGTGAGAAGCTTCGTTGGAGCTGCACGTGACGCATATGTCTGCTGTACTGCTCTCTGGTGCACAAAGGAAGATGTTTGCAGGCTTCAGGTCACGATGCACAATTCCCTTCGAATGGAGATACTCAACACCCGAAACAATGTCCATCACGAGCTTCAGTGAGGGCAGTAGGTGGAAGCAATGACGCCTGGCGAGTGAGCATTGGTCATACTTTGGAGTGGCTTGAGGGTTCAGATACGCGCCGAGCGAAATAGGGTGGAGTGACATTTGGATGTGAAGAATGACCGCGGGGGGTTGCTGACCAGGCCGGTAACGGGGTTGAACTTGAAGCTTAGACTGATCTTGGCTCAGACCATCAGTGAAGATGTCATCCGTATCCCCGAAAGTGGATGTTTGGCCAACAGAAGTGTTCCCATCGAAAGTACGGGGAATGGATTCAACGTCATCATCTTCCTCATCCAATCCCCTTCGTGAACCTTTCTTTGACTGATGAGATGAGGTAGTCCCGTGGCTGTCCCAGCGATGAACGCTCTCGTTGAAGCTATGATCTTCATGCAGAGAGCTTGATTGGGACTCGGGATTTGAATTTTCAGAATGTCCAAAGACAATCCCCATACTCGACTCGTTTGGGCTATCCGGAGAAGGCAAGTTGTTTTGCGACTGGTCATACGTTGCGCTAGAAGGGTGGTATTCGGCTGGAGGTGGGTGCGAGTGATGGGCCTGCTCAACCCATGCACCATAGTAACGAACAATATTTGTATGCTCAAGGCGGGCAAGTGTTCGAATTTCCTTCATGATAACCTCGAGCTGATTTTGACCTCCGAACTGCAGCTGCTCAAGTCGCCTTTGGCTGAGTGGAATTTTCTTGACGGCGTAGTCTTGTCCGTCGATGTGGTTCGTGACGTGGTATACTTCGCCGAAGGACCCACGGCCCAAGATCTTGAGTTCCTGGAATTCGACGGAATATCTTGACAGCTGATTGTATGGCGGGGCTGTTGGAGATCTGAAAAGAGGAACTCCTACGGGTGAACTGCCAAACAGCGGTATCGATGGGTTGGGAAAGTTCATTGGCCCATGGGGAACGGTTGGAAGGAAATCCACCTTATTAGCAGGCGGAAGCTGTTTCCTAAACGATGAAATTGGTTCGGTGTTCCGCCGGAATAGAGAGGGATTCTGCACATCTTCAACGCTGGATCTCTTTATCGAGGGCTTTGTGATTAAAGCGAGGTCTTCGCCGGAGCCAATTGTGGGAGATCGTGCATCGGGTTCATGGAAATTCATCTCCTCGAGGGCAGTTATACTAAGTAAGTCGAGGTTATCCCGATAACTCTGCCTACTCTGCCCCATTTCCTCCCTGTCAATTCCGTCGGCCAAGATACCGTGAGATGACAGGAACTGTGATTTGAATTTGTAGAGTTGCTTGCCAAGATACTGAGCCTCGGGGCTGTGTCGACTGAACGGTTTATTTGAGCCACGTTGAGCATTGAGAATGTCTGCTGCTCGACTCTGGCAGTAAAATTCCAAGAGGGCGGCTGTCATAATATTTGCATGTTGATCGGCATTTACACCAGCCAGATCCTGCGGTAATGTTGATCTATCGCCAAAGGAGATTGAAGAGTCTGCATCTGTAGAACCCGAGTCTTTTGGAACTTGCTTGGTCTTGTCCTCCTTCGGGCTGCGGGATTGATTCTCTGCCGCATGTCGAGGAGTTGATGACGCAGATTCCTGGATTGGGCTTGCTTCTGAAGCTGAGTCGGAATCCGAGTCCGATGGTATTTCTGCTGCTGATCGGAACATCGACATATTGATATACTTTTCATGCAAATAGCAAACGTAATGAAGACTTGAATTAGCACTGTGTCGGCGCCATTGGCATGACGGGCGAAGTACACAGAAAGTTTCAAGAAAAGAAGAAGAGGAAGGAAAAGAAAGTCAGGCACATAAGTTGGTATACACCGTACTGCCTTTCGGAAACTTGGACTGATTGTTGCCCCGCAGTAAAAAAAAAAAAGAAAGGAGGGAGCTCTTTGATCAAGGATAATGACTTAAAACTGAAAGAAGACAGAAAGGAAGAAGTCTCAGATATTCCTTGGACAGAGATGCCACGTTGGGATTAAGATCAAAAGGATATAAACATGCCACAGAAGCCTAGCGGGGGATTGTGTCAAACTTCCATCGGGTTCTACTAGAATGTCTCTAGCAGTACGTGGGGCATGCGGCTCTTGGCAATATATCGAAGGAGACTTGGGTAGAGTTTGAGATTGTATCAAGGAAATCCGTAAATAGAAGCAAGAAGAAGTAGACAAACACTTGGCCTTACGATCGAGTCATTCGATGCCAAGCCCAGGGAGGCGAGTCATCCGTTTCCGAACCCGTGGACTTGGCGCCTTCTCAGGTGGATATATGATGAAAGGCTTTACCTGTCTACTAGATGTAGCTATTCATGTATACACATATTCTACATAAGATTGTACCTCTTCTATCTGACATGAGGATCCGAGAAAAAAAAAACATCTAGAGCTACCTAGGTAAAAATGATCTTGACCTTTTGACCAATCAGATCATCCCAAATGTTGGCTCAATTTAGCTTATCTTATCACACGTGACTATCACGCGTAAACGTCACGTCGAAGGCGCGACAGCGCGACTTGCAAAAGGAGTTGCCCGCTCAACACATTCTCAAGTTTACGAGCCCACTTTCTTCCCACATCGTTTCCACCACCAGCCTGACTCTAACTCCGTAAACCTCAGGCTAGGAGTTGTCGTCATGCCTGAAGCTATCATCCCTCCCCAGAAGCGGGTGCTGAGCGATGCGGCCAATAATTCTAACGGTATCTTGAACTCTGCCAGCACTCTCAAAAAGCGGAAACTGGACAATGAACCGCCTGTGAAGTTCACGCCATCCTCGCAGATTGCTCGGCGAAAGATTGGCTCGACCCAACCGCAAAAAAGTCAATTCGAGGAGGAGGTGCTCGAAAAGTTGACGCAGGACATCGGCGACTTGAAAGAGAACAACTCAGAGAAGGACCAGCAGTGGGAGCGCCCCCCACTTGGTGACTTCGATGAAGCCAAGGAAAACATCTGCTTCCAACAGATTGACGCGGAAGAAGCAATGCTGATGGGAAAGCCAGCTATTCGGCTTTTCGGTGTCACCGAGGTAAATATCTTTGCCATGCGCTGGGTTTTCGTATCTAACAACATTAATAGGCCGGACAATCGGTTTGCCTTCACGTCACTGGCTTCGAACATTACCTCTACATTGCCGCTCCTGTCAGCTTCACCAAAGCGGATTGTGACCCTTACAAACATTTCTTGGAGCAAAAGCTAGGCCAGAGCTTCACTGCAATCTCGTCTGTGCAGCTTACAATGCGCGAGAACATCTACGGATTTCAAGGGAACCAAAAGAGCTATTATATTAAGATTACGGTTACTGAGCCAAAATTGGCCGCCCGACTGCGAAGTGCGTTAGAGACTGGCAGTGGAAGCATGAACTACAAGGGTATGTGGAGTGGCGCTGATGGAATCCTCACATTTGACAATATTCAATACCTTTTGCGCTTTATGATCGATACTGGGCTGGCTGGAATGGCTTGGGTCGAGGCAATGGCTGGGAAATATCGCCTTCTTGGACAAAGTCAACGATTGTCCAACTGCCAAATCGAAGCTTGTGTCGACTATCAGAATATGGTAGCTCATTCACCGAACGGGGAATGGGCTAAAATGGCACCTCTCCGCGTCCTTTCCTTTGATATTGAGTGTGCTGGACGGAAAGGTATCTTCCCAGAGCCCAACATGGACCCCGTCATCCAAATCGCCAACGTCGTTACTCGATACGGAGAGACGAAGCCTTTCATCAGAAACGTCTTTGTCCTCGATACATGCAGTTTGATCGTCAATACCCAAATCCTGGAATTTGAAAAGGAAGAGAAGATGCTCGACGCCTGGCGCGACTTTGTGGAAAAGGTGGACCCTGACGTTATTATCGGATACAACATTGCCAATTTCGATTTCCCATACCTACTCGATCGTGCCAAGCACTTGAAATGCACAGGGTTCCCTTATTGGACCAGACTGAAAGGTTTCAAGACAGAGGCCAAGGATGCAAATTTTTCGAGTAAGCAAATGGGCAATCGAGACACGAAGGCGACGAATACAAACGGAAGAATCCAACTTGATCTTCTCCAATTGGTTCAGAGAGATCACCAATTGAGAAGTTATACCCTTAATTCCGTGTCCTACGAGTTTTTGAAGGAGCAAAAGGAAGACGTTCACCACACCATGATCACTGAGCTGTTCAACGGTACCCCGGATTCAAGACGACGACTCGCGGTATACTGTTTGAAAGATGCATATCTGCCACAGCGATTAATGGACAAATTGATGTGCCTTGTCAACTACACAGAGATGGCAAGAGTCACAGGTGTACCGTTTAATTTCCTCTTGTCTCGAGGACAGCAAGTCAAGTTCATCAGTCAACTGTTCCGGAAAGCCCGGGAACAACAACTTGTTATTCCCAATTCCAAGCCCCAGGACGAGCAGGATTACGAAGGTGCGACTGTTATTGAGCCGAAGCGAGGATACTATGGAGTGCCCGTTGCAACCCTCGATTTCGCATCGCTATACCCTTCAATCATTCAAGCACACAACCTCTGCTACACGACCTTGCTCAACAAGAGCAGCGTTGAGAAATTGAACCTGAAGAAGGACGAAGATTACATCGTGACTCCAAATGGAGACATGTTTTGCACAACCAAAGTTCGCAAAGGCCTTTTGTCACAAATTCTTGAAGAGCTGTTGTCAGCAAGAAAGCGCGCGAAGAAGGAGTTGGCTACCGAGACCGATTCTTTCAAAAAGGCAGTGCTGAACGGTCGTCAACTCGCTTTGAAGATCAGCGCAAACAGTGTCTACGGTCTGACTGGTGCCACAGTGGGTAAACTGCCTTGTCTTCCCATTGCTAGTAGTACGACGAGTTACGGTCGTCAGATGATCGAGAAGACAAAGCAAGAGGTAGAAGCACGCTACACTATCGCGAACGGTTACTCTCATGATGCTGAAGTCATCTACGGTGACACTGATTCCGTGATGGTCAAATTCGGCGTCACCGAACTGGCAGATGCGATGAAACTTGGCCAAGAAGCAGCAGACTTTGTTTCTTCCAAGTTCATCACACCCATCAAGCTTGAATTCGAGAAAGTATACTTCCCTTATCTTTTGATTAACAAGAAGCGATACGCTGGACTGTACTGGACGAACCCCGACAAACATGACAAGATGGATACAAAGGGTATTGAGACCGTCCGACGTGATAACTGCCTGATGGTTCAAAATGTCATTGAAACCGTGCTGAACAAAATCCTGATTGACCGAGATCTTGATGGTGCACAAGAGTAAGTTGAGAATATCCCTCAACCCAGCTATGAAGAAACTAACATAATATCTAGCTACGTCAAAGCGACCATTTCAGATCTTCTCCAAAATAAGATCGATATGTCGAAACTGGTCATCACAAAAGCACTGTCGAAACGCAAAGAGGACTACGCAGGCAAGCAAGCACACGTTGAACTTGCGGAGCGGATGCACAAGCGTGACGCAGGTTCTGCGCCAACACTCGGTGATCGTGTGGCCTACGTCATGATCAAGGGTTCTAGTGATTCCAAAGGCTATGAACGAGCAGAAGATCCCATCTTCGTTCTGGAAAACAACATTCCCATCGACACTAAGTACTACCTCGACAACCAGCTTACAAACCCACTCAACCGTATCTTCGAACCCATCTTGGGTGAGAAGAAGGCAGGGCAGTTGCTCACTGGCGAGCACACACGGTCTATCACCAAAGCGGCGTCGAGCCTAGGCGGACTGATGAAGTTTGCCAAGAAAACACAGACTTGCATGGGTTGCAAGAAGCCCCTTTCCAGCAAGGACGAGATGGAGGGTGCAGTCTGCTCAAACTGCCGCCCTCGCCTTGGTGAACTTTACACAAAGACTCTCACCAAGGTCTCCGATCTCGAGGTTCGATTCGGGCGCCTGTGGACTCAGTGCCAGCGGTGCCAAGGCAGTCTGCATTGTGAGGTCATCTGCTCATCCCGTGACTGTCCGATTTTCTACATGCGCATGAAAGCGAAGAAAGATGTGGAAGATTCACAGAAAGACCTGTCCCGATTCGACTTTGATGCTGGTGCTTGGTAAGGAGAGAGCATTCTCCACTGTATGACTTGTTTTTTCTTGTATAGCTGGCTTTTTTGGTGGTATGGTTAGGTCTTAAGCATGGATGAATGGCGTTGGAGCTTGAAAATAATGTACAATGAGATTGAAATAATAACAAGAAGCGAGCAGCCTCTTTTTGCATCTTTTCCAAAGCCTTTATTATCCTTACCTTCTGTTTCTCGGATCAGCCCTTGAAGTTATTCGCAAAGTCTGGTGAGACTAGACTGAGTGCAAATATGATAGACGATAGAGATAATGCACAATGCATAGAAAACAAACAATAGAGACAATAGACCTTCGGACTGGAATACTCAGATTGAATGACATATCCTAACTAAACATCCGAGTAAATGTCCCTTTTCCACTATTTCCTACGTTCTGTCGTGTCGTTTCACGCCCGGAAGCGCGTCATCTGCGAAGCCGAACTCTTGGCGCGGAGTAACTGCCGATCTTCAATTTCAACATGACTCCCAAATTTACGCCCGCCATGAATCCTACAGCGAAGGATGAAGTCGTCGATGATGTTCCCGCCAATCCAAATTCCAATCCCAATGCAAACGACACGCCAATCCCTTGGTCGGAGGTATGTTTTTGTGCACAAGGCGCGACCCGAAAAATACGGACATTTTCAGGTGAGCTGTAACTAACCAGCTTTCTCTTTGCAACCAGATCTTCTCCCGTCATGAGGCCGTTCTCTGTTCCCACCTCGAAATGCTAAGTATGGTGAAGGGGCAGATTGCTTCGGAGGTCAATGGGCTCCAGACCGTCTCGTCAATGGTGAACAAAACCGTATTGGCAATGAACCAACTGAAGATAGCTAGAAAGCATATGGTGAGTAGTCTGCTCAATTTCCTCTTCATTGATCCTATTACTGATTCTTGCTTATTTAGATGAGCAGTAAGTCCCACCAAACTCCTACCCCGGAAGGAAGAAAGCAACCTACCCCACCCTTTACCAAGCAACCGAGACAGGAATTGACATGACAGCCTTAGAAAACGCTACACCCAGCTCCTCCAGCTCCTCAAACCCCACACAGTCGACTGACACAGAGGCCAATACCCGCAAGAAAAGGCGCAGAATCTCTCGGGATAACGACACAGCCCGTCCTGGGCCCGCGGACGAAATACGAGCGCCCAAACGACACCGTGATTCTTCCTCCCAGCCAACACCTGAGCAAGATGGAGAGTTCACGTCAACGTCACTTGGAACAGAGGATATTTCAGCAGAAGTCCAGCGACGGCTGAAAATAAAGGAGGAGCAACGTTTGAAGAAAGAAAACCCCAAAGCGGATAAACGTAAGCGCGGCAGTCTCGTGTCGAATGAAGGTGAACCGTCTATTGCATCCAAACCTCGGAAGAAACGGCTTAGGCTGGAGAATGAGCATAAGAGAAGTGGTGAATTGATGGATAATGACGCGGACGCTCCAAAGAAGAAACGACGCAGATCGCCTTAAAAGGAACGCTTGAAGGAGACCATGAGTGATGCTGGACCGTTACTCGGTTTGCTGTTTTTTCTTCTTCTTTTCTTTTTTTGTTGCTTCTGTCGAGCTTGATGTTCGTGTAATGGCAGATTCTAAAAGTTCAAGGAAGAGGCAATGATGTTTGCATTGAGTGATACTATGGACAGTTTTCACTGAAACTATTCTTAGATATCCCAACTACTCGGCTATAGTTCCTATTTTCTGTCCTACTGATCGCTGCCCGGATAGAGACTTTATCAATCAGAACGTTACGACCATCTAGGTAGTCTCTCCTGGCGGTCATTAGAAAGGTAAGGTATGGGTTTGGTGTAGTTAAGTGGATTTAGGGTAGACTGGAAGTATAAACCAGTGGAATGCCGAAAATCGTCGAGCAGAACGAGAGCGAGAGTAAATAGAATGTCACATGCTAACATAAGGGGTAGAGTTTTACGACAATTCTTTGTTCCGTCATAATAAGCGGCTTCGGGGAGACCCTAACAAACTGAGGTTTACTCAACAAGTTGCCAACCCTTTGCAAAGAGAGCGGCTATACTGGGGTCACTCAAGGCGTGAGGCCGATTCCAAATCGGGTATAGCTCGTTACTAGGTAAAGTCTAGCGCATATGGTTCTGCGCCCCCATTAGCCTGGTCATACTTTCTTAGAATGTAGAACAGAAGACATGATCGAGCAGTAGAGACAAGTTGAAACCAGATTCTAGCCCAGTAGAAGGCGGAACATGAGCTTCGAGGACGGTGTTTCAGATATGAGATCACAACCTATCTAAGACGTGCAGCCAGTCCGAGGTAGGCATTATATTACAACTTGCTTGGCCAATCCTCCCTCTTAATTCGTTTACTGGTCTGGCATTTTCCTTTATTTTCAGGATTGTCTTATAGTGACCTAAGTATTTTATGTGTCGAGATGTATAGTCACGATGACATTATGTTCCGTATTAGGTATAGTGGTTGACGAAGTATATATCAAAGGCCTTGCACGTCGGAAGAAAGCCATTATCCGCAATACTCCACAAAGACAAAAGATGGGGTTTAAGTTTATTGTTCCGGTGAAATAACATTATGCCTTTGTCTTTGAGTTGGTGCGTACCCGTGATACCCCGACAGAATGCTATCGGCACCTCGATTGAAGTGCTCCGACACAACTATTCTACTGGTATTCTTTGGTATCAGAATGGCTTGAGTCTACCAAAAGCCACAAGACATCTCGAAACTTTTGGTTTGCCTGTATTTCACGGACGAATCATAGTGTTGACACTCAAGTATAATTGTTTCTATGTCCGTGTACCCTCTGCACCAAGTCCGATAGGAGGCCGATGCCATCTTGAGCTCCGGACCTCTGATGGAAATGATCAAAGACCTCTGTCAGAATGGTCGAGCCAAAGTTGAATTCCTTTGTTCGCCCCCCTATGCCGCTAACAATGGCCCATTGTTTGCCTTTATTTCTCAGTCCGACTCCCCTTTAGGCTCTACATATAACGACATATAACGGTCACCCCCTGTATGTCGTGGGATCCAGTGCGATGAAATATCAACTTGCCCTTATTTAGATATTAACTTCTACGAATCCAGGGAACTCAATATATTCTCTCCGGCGACGAAGCCAGCGCATTTCCTAGATAGGTTTAGTATCACAGCTTGGTCTTATAAACCCCCCTCTGCTCACCTTCGAATCCTTTTTTTTCTTTCACTCTTCACCTCACACTGGGGTCATCCAAATATCACAATCATCAAAAATCACATTCCGACATCCGGCATTTGCCTTGCAAGTGCCTCTCATTCCCTCTTTGAGGTCTATACCCTTCCCCTTTGGGTATACATTCCTCTATCCGACATATCAACTTGGTCACCAAGGCCATCGACAAACACTCTTTCGACAACAATATTTCTACAACCCTTGCCGTCTGTAATCAACACAGACTCGGCCCTCCTACCTCCAAAGAAGAAGAGCTATATTCCACTCCATCAAATCGTCAAGCCAACTTTGTCACAAGTTGCCAGGGTCAGGGAGTTGTCTTTAATTGTCGGACTTCGAGAGTCCCCGGCCTCTTGAGGTGAAGTATCCCAGCTGAAGGCACCTATAGACATTCCTCCCCAAAAGAAATCCCCCCCAAAAAAAAGAGGATTCCACAAGGGTTGAGAAGAAACAAGCCCAGCCAAGGGAAACAAAACAAGCCAAAAACAGAGCATCCGCTTGGCCTCCTCGAAGTTGAAACCCGGCCTTTGGAAGTTCAATCGAATGACCCCGCTTGCACGAAGCTTCTCGAAAGAAACAGGCTGCGGTAGTCCAAACGCCCATCATAGCTTTGGTATAAGGAAATCCGAGAAGATGAATTTCACCCACCAATCTTCCGCGCCCTCTGGGCCCAGATCTTACCAAGGCAATGGGGGTGCTCGCAACATCCGTGCAAACAAAAATCACAACGGCAACGCATCCTTCGTGCCCAATGGGCCCGGATCTTACCAGAGCAATGGAGGTGCTCGAAACAACCGTGGAAACAACAACTATAATGGCAATGTCAACGGAAATGGCAATCACAACAACCAGTGGGACAATCATCAAAACGGGTCTGGCAATGTCAACCCTACCAATAATGGCACTGGCAATGCCAACAACGGGAATCCCAATTACAAGGGCAAGAACTTCAACCCCAACTACAAGGGGAAGAGTTACAACCCGAACTTCTCTCGTCCCGTTCCAGCAAACATTGTAAGCGCTTCCATTCCCCGCATTATTCCCTTTATATATTGATGATTTGATACTAACAATTTACTGTAGGGTCAGGTTCGACATGGCAATCGGAGACGTCAACCCAACAACCATCAGGGTCTCCAGAGCAAGTACAACCATTACAATATCGACGTTCAGATGGCCGAGGCACCGTCAGACGAGCCAGTAAGTCAATACCTCCACATCCAATTTGTAGAAGATCAGTTGCTAACCTTGAATATAGAATGACATCGAGATGCCCGACGCACCACCTCTTCTAGATCCACTTGTTCCAGATCCAGTGAGTGATCTCTGGCAAGCAGCCAGTGGGTTGCAACATGCACTAACTTCTCTACAGAGGATCGAAGCCTTCACAATGGGTGCTCTTGCGGTCAAAGAAATTGTTAGTCCCCCAATTTCGCTTTTCCGATTCAATCCCCTTGCTTTCCCACAACCTGCTATGGATTCTTTTGCCTTTCGTCCCTCTGCTTTCAATGACTCTGTTACTCATCCTCCCATTTCCATTCACCCTGCGTTCGGTACATCTGCTTTCAATCACCCTGCTTTCCATCACCCCTCTTTCCGTCCCCCAACTTTCCACCCTCCAGCTGTCCATCCCAAGATCATTGCTTCTCCAAAACTGCAAGGAAACGCTGAATGTAACTACTTTCTCTAACAACATCACAGGCCGAGACCATGCTCAGACTAGCTAGCGGCCTGGACCCTAGCTACGTCCCCAACTGAGCTCCACTAGACAGCGGCTTAGCCAACCCTGTTCTAGTCGCCGAACGAGAAAACAGCAACAAGTCGTCATCAACCTGTCGTCCTCAACAAAGTCACACCCATGTCCATCGGTCACCATCCACCGACCTTCAAACCCGCCCCAAGACCTCTGGGTTCCTCCAATCGGGTACGAACCGTCTTTGACGGGTGACAACCCACCCAGACCAGGGCGCAGAAGACTCCATCGACAGACGACACACAACACAAACACCATCTGGTCCTGGTCTCGACGGTGCGGCGCTTGCCCCGTCCGCAGGGATGACCAGACCACAGACCGGGAGGAAGCTCGGTGGAGGAAAAGATTCAAAGTGGTACATGTGCAATGGAGAAATTGAAACAAAGGAACCTGTACTTAGAACTGCAGGCCTGGTCATGGTTTTTACCGAGCACCCAATTGGGTTTACCGGGTTTTCCCATGGCCCCGTCGGGATGAACACATCATCAGCATTGGAATCGCCATCAAAATCAACATCAGCATCAGCATGAACAGAAAAAAAAAAAAAAAAGCCATCCACTCATGTTCATCCCACGGCTCGAATGGGAGGTTTTGCCATTTGATACCATTTGTTTTGGGCGTTTTCGGATATCTTGGATTTGTTGTATCTGTTTCTGGCGAGTGATATACTTGGGATCGATGTTGTATATGAGAAAATTTCCATGTACTGGATTTGGTTTGCTTGTGAGTATCTCGCGATGCCATGGTCGTTGAGATCTCACAGCTTTCTAGATGGGATATACTTGGAGAGATTTGTTATGTGCCATCCTCAAGGAGCTCTCGCGATGCCATGGTCGTGGAGAGTCTCTTTGTGCTTGGAACAATTTGGATGTATTTTAGAAGAAATATTATTCTATGCTTGGATTCTGGGCTCTGTAAGCTTGTAGACAACGCAGACTTACTGTAAACAGAAATTATGAAGCCAAAAGGCGGTCTTTTCGCGATAGATGACGTCCTTACGTCAAGTGACCAATACATTTTGGGGTTGCTATACATTGAAACCTTTTGATATTGTAGACCAACTGCAACTTGTTCGAATGGATTTATTGTACATAGACATAGTAATAACAGCCTTTCCAACACGAACAACCTGAAAAATTCCTGGCAGGTGGAATTCAAAAATACAACCAAACACCTAATCCCAATGCAAAGCAGCCCAATGCAAAGCAGAGCAAAATATAATACATCAAGGAGGGGGAGAAGAGACGCTGCACAAGACACACAAAACAGACAGACAGCACACGCATCGAGAAATCACTCCTCCTTCTCAACCACAGTCTCCTCCTTAACCCCTTCTCCAGCCTTCCCATCTTTCCCACCCCAAGTCCAAACATCCCAAATATGCTCCTGAATCAAATCACCATATCCCTTGCCCTCACTAAGCGCCTTCTGCTCTTCTCTCAACCTCCTCTCCTTCCACCCCTCAGACTCCCCACCCATCCAAACCCGCTGCACAACGCTCTCCTCCTGCGCCTGCCTTGCCTTAAGCTTCTCAATCTCCTCCTTCAAACCCGGATCGGGAGCCCTGCGCTGCTTATCCGAAAGCGACAAAATCTGCGCCTTCAACTGCTCATTTTCAGCATGGCGGAGCTGCGCATCGCGCGCGGCCCGGAGTCGTTCTTGGATCTCCTGCGCGCGCTCGCTAGGCAGAGATGAGAAAGACCTCTGCGCGCTTGAGATCCGCGCGTCGATCCGGTCGATTATGCTGCGGCCTGTGCGCTCGTGCACGATGTGGTTTGCGGATGCGCTGAAGGAGCAGAGGACGAGGACGGTGAGTGGGTCGAGTTTGCGTGGTGGGAGGGCGATTAGGATCGGGGCGCCAATTAGGAATGTGTAGGCGGCGTAGTTTTTGAAGCGCTTGTAGTCTGCTTCGCGGGTTGCATTTAGGTCTGGGGCTGAAGGGGTTGCCATTTTGTTGTTGGCGATGATATTGCGGAGGTTGCGGAGTTGAAGGAAAATTTATGGTTGGAAGGTTGGGCTTGGCGGATACTTGGCAGGGTCGGGTTGATCATCGTTCATTCTCTTTGTATACCTACTTTCTTTTCTTTTTTTTTTTATATCTGTTTTTCACATATATTTGCATTAATATAATTGTATACCTACTTTCTTTTCTTTTTTTTTTTTAATCTGTTTTTCACATATATTTGCATTAATATAATTGTAGTACGTTAGGCACACAGAATTACTCCTTTCTGGCTACAATAGAAGAGAAAAACACAATATCAAAAATGATCTCCACTATATGTATACGCCTGGGATTCACAAAGATCTATATCAAATATGCATAGCCATATCTAAGAACACCTGAAGTCCTATATCAAGGGACCCTTAAATATTAAATATACTATATAGTACGGATAGAAACAAGGATCATAATTCAGCATATATAATTGGCAGAGTAGACAATTAGACTATTAGACAATCTCACCCTATTACTGTTCAGGTCGAGGTTATACAAAAGACGTGCGTCTTACCAAACCCAACACTATTTGGAATCTCCATGGCTTACTTTCTCCTTCGACTTAACCACCTCATCACTTCCACTCCCCCATCTGACAGCATCTCCAATCTCCTACCCACAATCAAGATGTTCGTTAACGATATCATCTCCTGGTTCTCCTCCAAGGAGTCCACTGTCAACACTACCTCCGATGCTACCAGCATCGAGAGCCACCAACCCACCAGCCCAAAGGCGCCCTCCACCGACCGCATGATGACCGAGCAGCCTGTACGCCATACAAGACACATCATCCCCTAACAAACCCCAGACCTCTCAACTAATACTCTTCCAGAACTCCCAGGAGAACATGATGAAGCTGCGTGGTGGCGGTGCCGGCGATATCTGCTGCGGCCTGTAAGTCAAACACGTCTGAACCACATACCACCAAACGAAACTGACATTCATCTAGTTGCGCCGGTCTTGTCTGCTTCGAGTGCTGTGAGTGCTGCGAGAATTGCTGCTAGTTGCGCGGTGGTTCGAACACGCAATCGGCTTGGTCCTTCCGGTACCCTCGACACTTCCCTCTATGTTTCGTGGATTTGCGTGTTTATCTCGCCCGGGGGTTGACCTTTCGAAGGATTGGGATGGGATATCGAGAGGTGGGGATCAGGCGGGCTCGAGGGGCATTCTTTTCTCTACTTTCTATTCTTAATATGTCTCTTTAGCGTCTGGCTACAGCTTTCACGTACCAGATTTGCGTTTCTAGCTGAACAAATTGAAATTCAGTCTCGTTTTTGATCCATTGTTAATCATTATAATCGCGTTTAGAGCCTTCACGGTCTACTGGGAATAGACATACTGGCTTTACTCTGGACAATGGATGGTGATCAAGGCCATTTGTGCTATGGAAATATGTAAAAGTGGAGAGATTTCCCTAGCATTCTTCCTTGATTTGAATTGATATCCATAGAACCGTGGTGGATAATCTTGAAGCTCACCCTCCAATATTACCCCCAGGTACCGTCTGTAAATTCACCCTCGGGACCTTTCCCCTGATCTCAATCTCAAACCGCACCCTTAAAGCTCCTCCTCGTCATCATCGTCTTGCGTATTGGAAAAGACAAGTCCCTCCAGATCATCCATTAGAGAGTCCACGTTTGAGGAAGCGTCCCCTCCATTGGAAGATACAGCCTCTGCATTCGAAGAAACATCATCTCCATTCGAAGAGACATCACCTGCACTCAAAGATGCGACGCCTACATCCGAAGAACCGGGAGTATTATGCTCAGGCTGGCTACTCATATCGAAAGCGATCTCCCCGGGCTCCATTTCATCACTGGTCATCTGCGGGATATCGACAAAGCCACGAGTAACTTCACTGAGTTCCTGTTCAATTTGGCCAGTGGTCACACGGAAAGCACATTTAGACCATCGAGCCTCCATGTGCGCGACGAGTGCGGCGAGGGTCCTGAATCGTTTGAAGCATCGAGGGCAACTATAAGAACGATTGTTAGTGTCAAGAACTTCGCAAGAGAAAGGAAAAGAAAAAAAAAGAAATACTTACTCGTTGATTGTTTCATCCTCCATCGTGAGATGATACTCAAAGGTGGTGACGTACAAGAAGGATGAACCGCAGTTGCAGTAGTAGCGAGATTTCTCATGATTCCAGAAGCTCTCGGGGTCCACGCCTTGGATCTTGCGGTGAGCCATGGCTCGGCAACGTGCTGGTTTAACATAGTTAGAAGGGCCTGCTCCTTGGACAGCTAGAGTAGATCCAGAGGGCCCTGCCTCGCTCGACTGCTCAATGGCTTCTTGAGCAGACAGGAAAGGATTAACTTGGCGCATTGAGGTACCGACAATATCATCGATGAGAACACCCCCGGGCGATTCAGTGGAGGTGCTTCCTCCTTGTTCTTTGCCTGGGGTCATTGGAGCGCCTAGGTCGGGCCAGTTATCACGAGGATTAATTGCATCATCGGTATCGCGAGCAGGGCGCTTTCCTTCCATGCGGGGTGTAGAGAGATCCAGCAGAACGCCACCATCCGTATCTGGGTCCTCGTTAGAGCTATCAGATGGCGGGGACTGCGGTCCGGGAGAATCTCTGCCCATGGTCAGAACGCTTGTTGCGCCCTGAAGGTCATAGTTGGTGCCCCCGAGGGACTTTGTGGGCAAGGTAAGGACAGGGCATTCTCTGTCTTCGATATGTTTGATGACTGCAGAAGCGGACTTGTACTTGCAACCACAACCCATGCAAGCGATTGCACGACCTTCATGATGGTTCTAAAAAATGGATAGTTTGTCAGCACAGTTTCTTGTTCCCATAGATGGTACCTTGATGAAGGATGGAGACTGACGTTCCTCATGTGAACTTCCAGACCAGCCTCGCTGCGGAGCTCAAGACAACATTCGGGGCAGGCAAAGTGACGGTCGCTCATAATCTTGTGTAGATGGAGGGTCTGCTGAGACTGGAAGTTGAGGTCACATTTCATACAGTAAGAATGCTTGTCCGCATTGGCCTTATGATGTTGCATCTCGCCGACGGAATCGAAGTTAAGTCTGCAGCCCTTAAAGGTACAGAGCACCCCCTCCACTTCTTCTGCCATCTCGATGAGCCTCAATGAGCCGTCAAGACGATGAAGTGACGCTCGTCAACGATGGGTGGATGGGATTAAGAAAGTTGGAGAAGGAAAGAAATGAAGAGAACGGGGATATCAGAAAATTGATTGGAGAGGGAAAGTGTTGGAAGCAAACAAAAGGATTCCCCTCTGACAAAGCATGCCAGCATGGGAGGAAGAGGCCATGATGGTTTGAAATTGGGTAATATATTGGAGAAAGCTAGACAAAGAAAAAAAGCGTCTCAAATAATTTGATGAGGCCGGGAATTGACCGCATGACTTTGAGGTTCCAATCGATTCGCAACGTCGTTCGTTCCTTCCGAAAATGGGTGTCTGAATAGCCTCATTTTTGACTTGATATGCACGTACCCGAGGTTCAAAGTAATTGTCAACCACCGCTTTTTAGTGCTCAGATTCTTTCATAAACTGACCTCCGAATAGGTACATTCATGTAGACACTATACTCCAGATTTGAAACCCATATCAGAATAGGAAGCCATCTAAATCGAAGATGTAACATCCCGAGTGACTTGGCCGCTAAGTTTTAGTCCTATATAAAGAAGACAAGGACTAATATTTTAACCAGCCCCCCCCCCAGTGGCCCAGCGGTATTATGGCCGGGGCATCCCACACCAGGATGTCGCAACGGGTTTTACTCGCTCCCCACTGTCGGTCGGACTCCTATATGCTGAAGCTCTCCCGAAGCACTACGCTAGGCAAACCCCCCGCGGAAGGGTACAGTCCCCCGTTACTTAGGGAGGAGGCCGTAGTCAGTACGGTGAGTGGAGGTATATAGGGGAATGGCCGGAGGAGAGGACCATGTACATCGAGAGACCAGACTCTGTCCATACCCTCCTGAGGTCTAGGAATGGTCTAGATTAATGGGGACCCTTTTTTTTTGTTGATGTTTAGTGATACTTTTCTCTCCTTACTTCTTCCTTCTTATTCCTCGTATTGGCCCCTTTGGTATGATGCTCGAGCTACCTAGGTAGCTATACGTACTTGATTTCCTCTGCTAGGTGGGTGATGATCGATATTGGAGGACTCAACGGTAAATCCACAAAATTGAGGATTGAGGTCGGTGAAACCCTATGATAATTTTTGAGCTTAGTGATACAATTCTGAGAGGTCGACCTTATTTACCTTCGTTTTTCGCGGAGTCCCAATTCTGGAAGCTCAGCATTTGTGGAGTTATGAATGAATGCTTACTATCAATGACGTTTCGTGATTTGCGGCGGGTGCCCTTGACGGCCTCACTGAACTCTGGCAAGCAGTTAGTAACAATAAACTTCTTGATTGAGGGTGCCTCCCTAAACAATCATTTCCATCGAGTAGACCAAAAAACTCGGGGTGACCTATATAGCTATAATTATCATTGGACCATATTGAACGCTACGATCATAATCTATGATCCTAAGGATTCCGGCTTAGGAAATGCATGTATCAAGTATGACTGAAGATATATATGATACTTAGTCTTTAGTATTTAGCGCAAAGATAACGACTATAAAGTATATATTCTCTACCTATACGAATAGAGGCCTTGTCGCAATCCTCAATATCACAGCTCCAAATACCTATAGCGACCTGAGTTAGCCAACAACTAAAAGAGGAAGTATTGAAACGAGGGGTGATAGCGTTATAACCCTACCAACACGGTGACTTATGTGATTTTTATTCGTACTATAGCCTAGCTTTTAGATCCGCGGGCGAAGAGTCCGGAAGAATCTCGCGTAAGGCGCCCGTGTTTTATTGCTTTTTTCGGGAATTCTTCTTCCGAGCTAAGCTGTTTAGGGGGGGTCTGAACTCGACGACGCTTTCGCGTGCTAGGTGACAATAGCTTATCAACGCCTTAGTCTAGCAGCTATTTCTGATATTCTACTTCGGTAGACGAAAGAAAGTCATAGAAATCCCTCGATGAGATAAGGATATCTTGATCGAGATCGGGGTATTTCTGCGAGATACTCTTAGGGGTAAAGTCCCGGAGTGAAAGCCGGAGAGCCGGTTGTTTAGGTTTATCGACTAGAAGTCTAGCCTCCGTTCGAAAAGGCTGCAAATCGTTAGTTAGTGCCAAAATTTCTTAGGACTATAGTTAAACGTACCATTATCTCGATTATAGCCTTTGCTTCGAGCTCCTTTACTCTATCTATAGTTATTTTATACGGTCGCTAAACGGATATAGTTGCCTTTTTAGACCCTCTATATTCGATATTAAGAGCAATCATAGCGTTCACGCTCGTATTGGTATCGAGGATATAGTTATCTGCTAAGTCCGTAGTAGCTCGAACTTTTTGTGAATAGCACACTTCTATAATAATACCGGGATATTTAGCATCTTCGTGTATAAAGGATATATCTAGGCACCGTTCGGAATAAGGCTACTCTCTATTGTTTATATAATTCGGTAGCCGGATCCTAGATATCGATTGATATTTGATCTTTCTCGCAAAATCACCGAAGGCTTTATCACTCTTTTATAACTCTATCAATTGATTTAAAATCTTAGAGACTACTGTTACGCACTAGCTAACTGGTCACAGTTAGGTTAGATGGGTTCAGGGTATACTTGCCTTAATACTCCTCGAATGGTCCAACGTCAATGATCGGGTCTCAACTGAGCTAATGCCGCGTAGGGCCTTATAGTAGCCTAAGTCCTTTTGAGCGATCAAGGAACTGATGCCAGGTAGAGCGCCGAGTAGATCTATACCGGAGTATTGGTCTGCTCGTGAGTATTGTCAAGTTATAATCAAGTAAAGAGTCATAGCAATCTAAAAGGTAAATATAAGTAACAATGTATGATTGAAGACGAAGAACTAAACTAGATATATAAATAAGTATCCTTATATATCCCTAAGTTCTTCCTATATAGAATAGTAGATAGTAGAATGGTAGAATCGCTTTAGCGGATTCTACTAATCTACTTACTACCCTTCTACTACCTATATAATCACGTGATACTAAGTAGCGGTTGTCTAGTACGTAGAGCAACCTATATATCGGAAATCCTCTACGGGGTAGATCCGCTTAGGGCGGACTATACTCTTACTTAGTAAGCTTATACGTGACCTACTAATAGATCTTGCTAGTTGGCTCTCGATGGCCTATTAGTGTGCCTAGTAGATCGCTACTGATTAGTAACGGATAGGTCCGTAATATCACCTCCCCCCTTCCTAGGAGTTTCGTCCCCGAGACTTATAAAGCTACGGTGTCCCCCTTTAGGTAGGTAATAGATTTCTTTTCCTTAAAATAATACTTCCTTGTTATACCTAAACGAAAGGCTAACTCTATTTCTTTACTTACTCCTAAACTTCCCTTCGGTTCTTCTGATACTTATTATCGTTAGGCGACTTATATTAAAGATAATAGTTTTACTACCTCTATTTCTTACGATTATTATAAATTAGTAGGTATTGCTTATCTAATAGACCGTTCTCGTTAATATTCGAAATATACCTCGTATACTCGCGCGGGTCGCTTATATAAGCGTGACTTTTATACTAGTCGGGAATGGGATTTATTACGTCGTACCGAAACTAAACTTTCTTCGGATCTTAAAACGAATAAAAGTGAACTCGATTTGTTAGAACCTAAGTTAAGCGAACTATAAGCTTATCTCGCGGAGCTATATTAAAAATTGTTAAATAAATAAAAATAATACTAGGAAGTAATATCTAGGCAACATCGGTTATATAAATAAATGTCCTTCCTAAAATAAAAGGGTTTTAAAATATCGGAATATAATACTAAACTCCTTTAAATTCTCGATAAAAAGTAAATATCCCTAGAGTAGGCTTCCCCTTCTACTCTCGACCTCGAGTAGCTTGCTACTACTACCGATTATCCGAACTTTAATTAGATATTAGCGGAGATTGCTAATCTCCCTATTTCTTTCTAGGATGAATCCGGTTTCGTACCCTCCTCGCTTTCTGTTACGTAGGGGTCCTTTTCGCTTATTAGTAATACTATTAAATAAGCTAGTGGTAGCCCCTTAGATTCTAGATAGGTTCCTATATATTTTCTAAGGTAGGGTACCCTTTCTACTAAACTAAGAGTTATTACTAACTATTATACTATCTATCCGATAGGATTCGTTCGATTTTATATTTGTCTTCGGTTTCCTCGATTTCTACGTTAGTTATAATTTCGGCGTTATCTAGTATTAGTTCGAGTAATAAGATATAAAATACTATATAGAGTTTTTGTATACTTTCGGGTAGCTTTAAGCGATAATTTACTAGTCCTAATTTTTCTTTAATCTTAAACGGTCCTAGTTATAGGTAGTCTAATTTGTTACTAGGTCGCTTAGTTTTGATATTACGTTATAATAGATAAACCTTTTCTCCCTCCTTAAGGTTAGGTCCTTCTCTATAGTAGTCGTCGTAATATTTCTTTATATATAGATTGATAAAGTTAATATCTCTAGCTAGTTATATATATAACTTTCTTAGTCCGCTAGTCTTTAGTCTCGCTAACTCTACTACGGTTATCTTATTAATTAGTTCTCCGAATACTATTAGGTTATATCTATAATTCGTAAAGAATAGTGTTTCGTTAGTCGTAGAGTACGCTATATTATTATATACTAGCTATACTATTAGTAGTAGTCCTACCTAGTTATCTTACTAGTAGTTTACGTAGTGTTATAGGTACTATTTTACTATCTAATTTACTCTTTCCGTCTAACCGTTAGTTTATAGGTAGTATATAGTAGAGAGTCTAAGCTTAATACCTATCTAGTCTATAAAAGACTTCTATATATTCGATATAAATAACTTGTCTCTATCCGATATGATTTTGCTCGGTATCCTATAGTTCGTAACTATATATCGAAGTATAATATTCGCTATTTAATTAGTATCGATAGTTTCTATAGTCGGAATTATATAGGCGTACTTAGTAAGCCTATTGACTATAACTATAATTATATCGTATCTATCTAAGATTAGTAACTTCGTAATAAAGTCTATTATAATCTATTCCTATAGTTA